TCTTAAATGAGCCAAAACTATCAAGCAGCCACCCACCTTCCTGTCCGTTATCCTCTGATTAATGACATTCCACCAACAGGGTCCAACATTCAGGATCTCCCTTCTGCAGGACCTCTGCACAAACGCGATCTCTAAGACCCGTAAATTGTCTGTATGGTTTGCAGCTGTGTTTTACAAGGACCTGTCTCTGTTGTGTGGTGACCATTGCAGGAGAGGCTTCACAGGGAGTGGAGAGAGATGGGGCTTTGCAGCATCTCGTAAAACCTTAATTAGGCACAGTAAAGCATGAGAAACCAAATCACACTGCAAGTAGGACACTGTTTCTGAAAACGTTTTCTTGCTTCTTATCCTGTTGCCTCGTAACTTCCAAATTCAAAGCAGCCCTGGTAAGAAAGGATCAACAGTTGATGCCTTCAGGATCAATATTATTTAGGTATAGTGATCGATGTCTGTGCTGCTCCCTAAGCAGTGTGGAACAGCGGGGTATTTTCAGGTAAGAAATTTGGAGAGACATCGCAGTGCGTAAGCCAGCCTGGGAATAAAGATCAGCTCTGCAGCAGCCAATGCTCTTGTGTACAGCCTGTACCTGAGACAAATCCCCAGTACAGGGAAAGCACAGTTCAGAGAGTACCTGGAGAAGTGAGAGATTTTCTAATGTCTGGACTTCTTCCATGAGCACTTAAGAGGACTGGCTGAAATATCTCACTTTCATTGATGGATATGCCCAAGAAATCAACGGAGATGATGAATCAGCTATTGGGAAAGTGAAAGATGACAAATGACCATATCCTTTTCATCAGTGCTACATCCAGTCTACAGATTTGTGCTTGGCAGTGCTTTTCTAAGCCATTTCGATAATGCCAAAATGGTGAAAGCTGCACTAATGTGTAAACGCAGCCTCAGCAGCTGATAGGATCCATACAGTGTCATTTTTGCAGAATGAAGAAATACTTCTAGTCTGTAAATCTTGGCATGAAATGTCTTTGAGCTTCTGCACTGCCCTGTGCATGAGACTGAAGGTGAGCAGAACATCTGCTTCACGATTTCATTAGGAGTAGATGCACTGAAACACCCTCACATCCTCTATCTGAGGTGCCTCAGCTCTTACACAGAGGTTCGTTTCTTCGTGATCATTTATTTTCCTAAAGTATTAATTTTTTTGCAGCGTAGGCACAAAAGAGGCATGTGTTGGTATGCTGTGTGATTCCTTCAGTAGATTTTGGTTTTACGGCCTAGGAACACACACTCACCTCTTCCAGAACTGTGTATAATACCTTTATAGACACGCACTTCTGGATGCACGCGTACTTGAATCTTTCTTTGTGTGTTTGTACAGACCAGTATGTTCTCACATGCCTATATCAATATAGAAGAAAGTATATAGAGACACAACCTAGGATTTTTAAGAAAGGTTGCTTTCCACGAGGAGCTACAGAGTACGTTTCACTCAGCAGTGACTCATCTCTCTAGCTCTTATTTTCTTCTTACTGCTTAATCCAAGAAACTTTGACTAAGTCAGCTCTGCCACGTCCCAAGTGTAGCAGGGATTCCTCACCGTCCTTGATGCAAACAGAACTAGTAATTCTCCTCAGAAATAGCAAGAAATTGCTATTTGTGGGCTCATGCTTTACGCAATGATGACCTTGGCTGAGGCAACCCAAATGGAAAGGGCCCCAGCACATGAAGTCAATGCCACTGTGGTAAATAAAGGCAGCGCCAGGAAGGCACAATTTCAACATCCCCTGGCAGATGAAACATAGCTGGGCAGGGGCACGACGTGTATGAGCTATATTTTCTTAACAGCAGTCTGGGATCCTCATGGCACTATGTCATAGAGAGACAGGCTGGTTTTGTATCTCAGCTCGTTGTTATTATTGCTGTTGGGATTTTTTTTATGTGCAGACTCTTTTAGTGTTCTGTGTAGCCGTTGAAATGAAATACAATGAAATTTACTGGGTATGCAGATAGGCTGGAGGCAGAATGGCAGGTATTTGTCAGTTGCTCAGACCAATGGAACTTCGGTGGCTTCCAAGTATTGACTGAAAAGATTTAGCATAACAAGTGAAGTGTAGAATCCATTTCAGCTTGGCACTAAAAAATCATTGGGCGAGACAGATTGTAGACCAAGACCTGGACTTGCATGCCCCTACCACTTCAGACAGCAAAATTCAAACTAGTTGCATGCCTACAGCCCATACTACGCAGTTACATATGTCAAAGTTCTACTAGCAATCTTAATCCAATCAATCCAAAATTAAATGTTGCTCAGATTCACAAGGGCTAACAAACCTCAAAACAGCCTGCTGATACGTAAGGCTGATCTGACTCTTTTTTCCTTTATGTCCATAAATATCATCAGGAGTAGCCAGCACACCTCTGTTTGCCTCAGTTGATTGAAAGACCACAAAACAAGTCAGAGTTTTGATTAAAGATGAGGCTGGGCCATGCTCTGAACACCTGATCAAGCTGTAGATGTCTCTGTTCATTGATTAGGAGGACTGGATGATCTTTCAGGGTCCCTTCCAACTCAGACAACGATCCATAGCCCTCCAGCTATTCCTGAGCTCTACAACAAGCCCTCTGAGTATGGGCACATGCTCAGCATCCATCATGGCTGCATTTCAGGACCTATTTCAGGCCCCAATCATTTCTACGCTGGATATACACACACTTTCAAGACAGTTACATTTTCATCCCAAACCCATTCACCAGATAAAAGTGGATCTCTCAATGAATTTGCCATAACTTCCTCAGCTTAATTCTGGTGTCTGCTGATGGTGTTTTTTCTCTGTGATTTTTTCCACATCTGTTTATTGTGTGGCTTCTTCACTGAACAGGCTGTATACTCATTATCATATGAAATAATGTTTTAGTGGAAGAAATATTATCTCAGAAACACACTCTAGGTATATAAGCTTGCTGTTTCTCCCTGGGTTCTCAGCTTTCTTTCATCAGGACAGTTTTGCTAAAATGATATTGCCTCTCTTGGGCGTACTTCACAGGAGCTTTATGGTTATGATGAATAAAACAACTGTGGCGAGACTGCAATAAATTAATTGCACCATTTTATATGAGTAAGAGAATGGGCAGGAGACCTGAGGTTGAATCACAAACCTGATGATGACTCGGGGTTCATGGTTGAAAGACTGGTAAGAAAAAGCAAAGATGTCATAGCAGGAGTGGGAAGGGGATCAAGGGTAAAATGCAGAAGCAGCCCAGCACATTGTGGTTAACAATAAGCAATTTGGAGTCTCAATTTCCATTCACCAAAGTACATGGGAGATCTGAATTTCCAAGCTAGCAATTGTCTTTTATTGTTTTATGAGACGCAAAGAATGTGAATTTGTGTTTCTGCTGTTTATTGGTCAGAAACTGATTGTCTGACTGCATCACAGGAGCCCTCCAAAACTCAAAGCAGACTCCTTTGGGATCCAGGAGGAGATGCCCATCTCTCCGGTTCTTGTTTTACTCTGAGTTCCTGGGCTGTTGGCTGCAAATCACTGCCTGGCTGCAGTGATAAGGCCATTGAGGTGTGCTACAGCTCCCTGCTGTGCTCAGTTAGAGTAAAATTTGTCTTGGTTGTGGGAAAGGTGAACTTCTTTTCATAGTTTAATAGAATAGATAGCAAACAGGCCAATTAGTATGAGAAGGGTGGGACAGAAACCCTCCCAAAAACTGAATCCATGGAGCTCAGAGAGGAGATGTACTGAAACACAATGTCAGGTTGCACAGCAGTAATGTGTCACTGAAGGAAAGCTGCAGCACAAAGAATGGACAACCAAAGCACTGCTTAAAGTGCCAACCACCAGCCTTAATCTGCACAGAATAAAACATCCTGGTGTAGAAGCAGCCCCATGTTTCATGACAACGTTGCTCAGTGTGCAGAGAAGTGCTTTATGCCCCTGCTGTCTCCAGGGCTGGCCTCGTTGCAGCAATGTGGGTCGTCCCGGAAGGGAAAGAAGTCACAAACGTACAGCGTCTGTTTGATAAGCCCAGGTTTGTTTGCAAAGGGAGAGATGATGACTCTTCAAATGCCACTGCATTGCTGAAAGGACTTACAAAGAAATGTTGTCTGTGAATATTTGAGCAGGAGAGCATTCTGCACTGGGACGTCCCTGGATGTGCTGTGACATGAAGTTCTGACTTCACGTGGGTTGCAAGTGGGTTGCTGTTGTTAGCCTGCAGAGTGAGAAGGCTTTTAAAAGGTCCCAGTCAGATGCTTTACCTTTACATGCCCATCTCCTGGGATTTTTAAGGTAAACATGCCCACTCTTCGCTGTTGCTGTCTCTGAGCTTCTTCAGAAGAGGTAAGCAAGCAGCTGCCATTATTGCCAGCAATACCCAGAAAGGAGGGGAAAGAACTGCTTGTACGATGGGTGTAGCAAGAGCTGTGACTGCTGAGCTGCAGCACTGGGACAAGGACCCTGGGGATAGGGGGAGGGGACCACCTATGTCCCACATGATGGTGACACTGCCCTATGCCACAGTGCCAGCAGAAAGGAGTGCCCTTAAATCACACAGCTCTCAGGCAGTATTTTCCTGCAAGATTTGCTTTGTTGTTCCCCAAATCCCCGGTCAGTTCCTGAGTTGGATGGGTCTCAATGCCAGACAGGTAAAGACTGAGAGCCCACAGCTGGTAATTAAAAAAAAAAAAAAAAAGAGAAAGAGAAAAGAGAAAAAGAAAGGCAGCAAGAGGGGAGAAGGAGACCTCATTTCTTTAACCTTTTTTTTTCACCTTTTAAAGACTTCCTGAGCTGACTGGCAAATGCTTTTTCCAGCCCTACGTCCCAGGGCAGGCTGGGAAGCTGGAGGTAGGATTTGGTGCGGGAGTTATGAAGTGTGTGGGGTAGTGACGATAGGCAGATAACAGCTTCTGGTGGTAATACCAGGGCATGGAATGGAGGCTAAAACCAGCAAATGCCATCTCCGTTTAACCAGAGCTCGGTAAAAGAGCTCTGTGCCAGCCCAATGTCAGGCAGCACCTGATAGATTACCTTCAATTGCTTCTCAGGGTTCAGCATTGCTGTTCTCTAAGGTAGCCAAGCGTTAGGAAAGCATTTGGATGTTGGCTCAGGAGCTGACAAGGGTTCTGCTGGTGGAGCTGCAAAAGACGAAGGGAAAGTTACACAGAGCTGTGGGAGAGGTGAGAGAAAGCAGCCTTTTGCCCTGCTCAGAACTTTCCAAATCTGACTTTTAACAGGTATTTTCATGTCAAGTTTTCCTCTCTTTGGGCCACATGGTCGGTGCATTTGCTGAACGTGAGGTCCAGCTGTGAGTTACGACTCAGCGCAAGGTGTGAGCGCTGCTCTCTTGGTCTGTTCCAGTCCCTTTCTCCTATAATGCACTTTTCTGGAGTATAAATCTGCTTCTGTGACGACGTCAATAAAACTGTTGTGCAGAAAAAGGCAGTTCCTCCTCCCTTGAAAAAGACATCATAGCTTTCTTTCTCTTTCACAGCAGGAATCTCTTCCTGTAAACACAAGGCAGCCCTGTCGAAGCATCAGTAATAAGATTTTAACTATTTTCTTTGGAGGTTTCACCCCCTCGCCCCCTTCTTTGTGGATAGCGGTTAAAGTGATAATTAGTAAATTCTGGTCCTCATCCAGAAATGCTCCAGCACTGAAACAGTACACAGGCACATGAGGAACACATGTACACAAATTGTCAGCGCCCCTCTCTCCACTGTCGGTAGAAACAAAAAAATAATGGCACAGAGTCCCTGCCAGAGACTGTAAAAATGCAGTTATAAAAGAGTATGTTATAGGGTAATGATCACACGTTTATACCATGCTTTTCATCCAGAAGAAACCTAACTGCTTTGCACTGCCAAGCCTCTCACTGCAGGGCTTCTAATGGGTGGCCGCTCTGGGACAGCTTAGGACAGGAAGCAAAAACTACTAAATCCAGTAGAAATGGAGGAAAATTCAAAGATCCTCCAAAATAGCTTGTTTTCATGAAGCTCATACGAAAACAAAAGCGTTGAAGCTGCAAAATGTGTAATAGGTTATTTATATGACATAGAAACTCCAGAGAAGTTCAAAATAACAAAATAAAAGTATGAGCAAAAAACATATGACAAAGTAGGACGTTTTTTCCAGCCCAATGAGTTGGATGTGCTGACTTCACAATACTGTGTGTGAATGCAGAGTTTCATTTAGAGGAGCAAGAGAGGCCAGTGTCTGTTGGTAACGCCAATGTAACGAGGAATTCTCCAACACACCTTGTCCCATTGCTTTCCTCCTAACAAGCAGCAGCCTCCCACCTTACAAAGGGGCATCACAGGAGGGGTGAGCACTCAGGGAGCCCATCACATGCTACAAACAAGGCATCTGCAATATTATCCCAAGAAAAGCCAAGGTGGTCTTCCTAAATGCAACTCTTTGAGGGTTTTAATGGAATTTAGTTTTAAGTAAAGACAAAAATCTGTCATGCTTTCTTTTTTTTTTTTTTTTTTTTCTTTCTTTCTTTTTCTCAGATGTGTGATTTTCTCCAGAAAACAAGACATCTGAATATTTTCCTATGCCATGTTTCTGTCAAAGCCTGGTCCCAGTCGTTCAGCGGGAAGGGAGCCAAGAGCTCATGCTGAAGAGGGTAAGCTATGGGATTAATAACTACTCCAGACTTTGCTCTGAACTTTTCCTTCAATTACTTGCATATAATAGACTCTAGGGTAGTCTAACGAAGTATTTATTTTTTCATTTACTCTACTTCAAATAAATTTTATGGAACTGGATGGAATTTGATAGAACATAATTTTTCCTTCTCTTTTACTGTTGTAAATCTAAAGGAACATCTTCTGCGGCACCCTGGAGAACAAATTCTTCATTTCTACCTATCCTTAGGACCCATCGCTTTATTGGGCAAAACCAAAATTCCCTCCCTGCTTTCTCCCCTCTCCACCCCCTCTTTCTCTAATAGGAAACTTAGACACATAGGAGCAAACAGAGAAGCAAAACAAAGCACACTCAGCATTAATTTGGCAGCAGGGAAACTCACTAAAACAGATTTTATTGTTAAAAATTGAGACTTGAAGTTTTCCTTCTATAAAAAATAACAAACCTCTCTCTGACATTTGCTGGAAATATTGCTAGCGAATGGATCATGTATTCCATTGCGCAGGAGATGCAATTAGATTTCTGCAGGTTTGTAAAACAAACTATGCTCGAGGAGCGCTGTCATGGAACCACTGCTCTGATTTCCAGTTGGATAACTGAGCTTTTAATTAGGGCTCCAGTGGTGCGACCGCTTTGCAATTTCCAAAGCTGCCTAAGGGATTTGAATGTCAAACTCTAATTACAATTACGGTGAACTGAGCATGCTCTAAGAGGATTTGAAACTTTGGCCCATATATTCCCTTTGTATAACAAGGAAGGATTTGCTTAGCAGGGAAAAGCTTTAATCTACTGCAGGTATGAAAAATTACTGAATTAGAGCCTCCGCTACTGTAAAACAGCATATTTCATCCCATTTCTATTGAGCCAGGATGGCTTTTAGCCCAACAGTGTAAGAGCTGCTGGTTTTTTTTCTGAAGGCTGAGAGCTTTGTGGAGCACAGCGATGCACAGCTCCGTACCCAGGACTCCCTGCCTTCCCTCTGGGGCACCTGGCACAGCACTAGGCAGACTTTCTGGGCTGGGAAGCTCTCGACATGATCCAGTTTCCAACCTGATAACAGATGATGTGTTTTTGCTCACTATATGGACCTCTTCGAGCAGATGCCATTTCCAGAAACTCTCAGGGCAGGAGCTGAGCGATTCGGTAGTCAATCTGCATTTCAAAGTGAAAAGTCACTGCAATTAATATCCCACTTTGGAAATTATTCATGCAGACTCTTTCAACCGTTTCAGTAACAGCTCCTCTGCTCTCCGGCCCCAAATGGCTCCACTAAGAAATTTCTGAGAATCTCTCCTTCCTCTCGTCAAGTTTTGATTTCAGCACATCAGCATTTCTGAGCGAGGGGGAAAAAAGGAAAGCATACAAATCCCAAACAATGCATTTCTTGGAACATTCCCAGCTGTATAACCAGGTAACGTACCGGGCATTCAGGAGAGCTGGCTTCAGTGCAAGACCTGGGGGAGTTGCTCAGGGTAAGATTCCAAGTCGGCTAAAGCATCCTCATCTCCATAAAGGTGAATGGTTACCTGCCTCCCTCCCTCAGACTGCCAACAAACCCAGTTTGGAAATGACTGATGAGGGCAGCCAGCGGTAACAGAAGAACTCCCACAGGCCAAGGAAGGGTCTGTAGCTGATCACAGCATGAGAGCCAGCTTTCCCATGCTCATTTCAACCAAGTTTCATTCTCCTTCACCCTGTCTCCATGTCTTTGGTTGATTTATTCCGTCGGTCTCTTTTACAAGCCTTTGGGTTTTTAATTTCCCCAGGGATCTTCAGCAAAGAAGGGACTCTTGCACTGATACTGGTAAATGTATGTGCCATCAGTGCCTGCTTCTCAGATAGAGATGCTCGACAAGCAGCACAGCAACCACCCCTGCGATCACTTCATCACTGCCATGACAAAGGCAGCCCAAAAGCTGAGAGGCATCTGGCTATGCTCCCACTGCCAGCCTTACAGCCTGCACAGAGACGATGCAACAGGAGCTTGGTGAGCAGGCATGGGGTAAGAACCAAGTGAAGCCAACATTAAGATACTCAAGATCGTGTGAATTAGCAGCATTCTTGAAGGTATCTTGTATATCTTGTAGCTGCTTGTACCACAACACCTGTGTCTGGAGATTGCTCAGAGCACGGATCATTGCTGCTTCATGTGCTATACGGTACAGCATAGATAGATTTTAAGTTTCTTGAAGATCCTGGCCATTTTTATAGCTTGTTTTTACTTTATGGTACAAAATAAAGTTTCCAAATGGGCTGTCTGTTCTTGAAAGCATAACATGAGATCTGGCTTTCCAGGGGTGCTTCACATGGCACTAACAGCCCAACTCTGTGACATCTGCCCCTTCAATACCACAGGACTGCCCCAGGCAGTCAGGACAGAGCAGCCCTGAGCAGAACAGTGAGTTTTCTCATGGAAGACTAGGATGGATTTGCACTACGCTTTTCAGCAAAACCTCATGCAATGCCCTATGCTTTTCACTAACTGAACAAAGAGAAAAAATGGTTCCAATTTAGCCAGGTGGAAAGACTATTGATTTCACAGAGGGAAGCCAGAGAAGGTGTATCAGGGATAACCTTGGCCCTGTGTGCTCCAGGAAGTTCTGTTGGCTTACTGCTGGCAAATGCCTCTATTATATGGCACATGCAGAGCAGTGACAGCGATAAGGAAACGGGAAACAAACCTGTATATGCCTTTCACAGCCAGTCATCAGAGAGCTTATTGCTGCATGTGCTTAGTTTTGCAGAAACAAAAGTGTGTAAGCATCCCTTTGTTGGATTCCAGCCAGATGCAAGTCACAGGATAGACCTTGTTTTGTCTTCGCAGGTGCCTGCCTTGTGCAGGTGCACACGGAGGGCTATTGCTTTTCATTTTCTCATTCATTGTAAAGGAGAAGAAATTGCCTGGCAAAGTGAGGCAATGCCAGCAGCAGGTGGGGGAACTGAGCTTTTCTACCAAGCACATCCTTGCAAGGCAGCCCTACTCCAGGAGATGATCTGCTCAGTGCTGCAGAACCAGGCTCAACTGGAGGAGAGAATCCAAACAACAAACCCTGCGCCTCGAATGGCCCTATGCTCCCCTCAGGCTCCATGTGTTCCTGCACCCTAGGCATGTGGGCTGCCTTTCTCTGTTCCCTCTCAGCCTTCATCCAGTCAGAAATCCAACCCATCCTGACATTTCTTATGAGCTTCAGCCTGTCCCATTCATGAGACACACGTTTTGCTTGAGCTTATCAAACTCAACGAAGAAATGTGTACCTTCATTCCTGATTTTCTAATCTAGGTGAAAGCAAGTCCCCCTCTATCACATCAAGGAGAGCATTCAGTCTCCCCTTCTCCGCTCAGTCAGAGGGTTTCTCTCCAGATAGACACTTCTTTCTATCCATTTTGTCTGTTGAGGAATCTGGGGAAAAGGTTGACTGCCACAAACATTTCCTGACACTCACCTGACAAAATCTAGAAAATTACAGCAATGCTTCTAGCAGGTCCTGGGTCAATCACTTCTCAAAACGCACTGGCATTTTTAGCTGCTCTCTCTACCACCAATTTTTCAGAGCACCAGCTCTTCTAAATACTGTTATCTCAGTCCTTTTTGATGGAAAAAAGCCCTGAGATGTCTTCTGGCAAGAACCACAGGATTTCCTGACAGCTGTGGTCTCTGCATAGACCTCAGTGGGACTGGGACCCATCCTCCTGGCATAGGGGTGAGTGAGTGACCGTGCTCAGAATGAAATTGCCTACACACAGCTTCGGGTAACAGTGAAAAGTACATAACACCATGAAGTCATGCATTTGGGCAACGCTGATATTGCTTCCTACACATCTGAGGAGCTCACTGTGCTACAGCTCCAGTGCAGCTTTCCTGGATCTGCCGTGTGTTTAATGGAACATATGTGATCTGTATTAGCCCTACACGTCCGGGAAATCTCATATAGACTCCTGGTGCTATTGTTACACTCAGACACACCGCAAACCTCGTAATGTCTGTGGTTGATCCAGTCCAGTGCACTCAGACGTGTACATTTCCAAATAACCCTTAGACATTTTGGAATGCACGGCATCCCTCTCCTGCCATTTCCCACACAGGGAGCTCACTCACCTGATGAAGGCTGTGACCCTGAAGCATCCAAGCTGGGATCTGAGCTGCTCTGTGAACACGCTGATGAGCAGGCCTGCAGAGAAACAAAGTTTGAATAGCTCTAGGGAATACTAAAAGGGAACATTTGGTTTCATCTCTTCAGATTACTAAGGAGTGTTTTGTAAAAAAAAAAAAAAAGTAATGATTTTATATACAGGAGGATTAAAAAAAAGGATTGTTTCATTGGTCAAAAGCAAAAACATTTTGAGTTTGCAGACCTGTTCAGAACTGAAACAAATTCTATGTTCTGAAAGCTACAACTGGCTGTGGGTCTGGGAGTTTTTCATACGGGCATCTCCACTGACATCAGAATAATGTGGTTGCCTTTGTAAATAACTATTTCTTAATCAGAGTAAAGGTTGCAAATATCTGACCTGTGATAGAACTGGAGTCTGGTTTCTTTCTTAATGACCATGAAGGGCAGTAAGTAAGAAGACTGATTTGGCAGCAAACGTTAGCCTGGAGTTGGGATTCTTTGATTCATTTTATGCCTTTGTGCAATACATGAAGTCCTTCTTCTCCCTGATTCCCAATTTGTAAAATGGAAATGTTCTGTGGGAGCCTTGTGAAGAGGAATATGGCAAGCATTGAAGAGGTTTTCAGGTCTCACTGCAACACAGAAATGGGCATCCTGTGAAGCTCAGGTGGGCAGACAGAAGGAGCTCTGGTGAGGACAGAGGCTCAGGAAGCTCCTTTGGTTCAAATAAACACCCAACAGCAGTTGCTTAGACACTCTATTGAGAACCTGCAAAACAAGGGTGGAAAACTCGGGAGCTACTCACCAGTCTGCTCAGGTTAGAGATTGGAAATTCTGTATCACCGTGTTACAGCTCTTCTCCTCATGACCATGACTCAGGACTGCAGAATCTGCAGCACACACACACACCAAAGAGGGGAAAAAAAAAAGAGAAAGTGAATTGGAGTCACCCTACCAAGAAAAGGGTTTTATTTTTGAGAAAGTATTTGGGGGTGGATATCAAAAGAGATCTATGGGAACTGAGGCAGAACACAAAGCCTCCTCCATGCTGAAAACCTATGCTATTTTCACCTTATTGCATTTACCTTTTACTTTTAAAACCTCTAGAATTATGCCACTGACCTGTGCTTAGAGCAGAAGGTGAGATCTCCATCACTACTCTATCTTTCTAGGAAAAAAAAAAAGAAAGGCATCATATGAAAACATTTGGATCCCTAATTAGCCTCATTAAAGAGGCTGGCCATCTGGACCCTGCTGATTCTAATTAGTGATCGATAGAGCACTGATTTGGTCGAGAGAAAAAAAAGAGAAAAAAAAAAAAGGGAAAAAAAAAAAAAAAAGGTCCAAACCACCACCTCCACTTTCCTGCTATTACACACAGGGCTCCCTCCCCACTCCCAGCCTGCAGCGGGTGGATGTGTTCTCACTCAGCAGTCATCCACCCCATGGCTCACAGGCCAGCAGCTTGTTTCTTGGCACAGCTGCCAAACCTGAGCCTGTAAACTGCGGCAGTCTGGAAAGGATGCAGCTAAATATGGCAAAGAAACCAAGAGCATGTGATTACCCCACCCTTCACTTGTAACTCAGTCTGGTAGCCACACTTCCAAATGTCATCACTGTGCAGAAAACCCTGGATAACACATGGAGGAGGGTTCCAGGCATTGCCAGAGCGCCTTTAAAACTTGTTGGTTTTGTTTTGTTGTTGTTTTTTGTTTTTTTTTTTTTAACTGGTACCCAACTTGTTTCCAAGCAATTCCCCTTTGGTTGCTATTACTTGCTCCCCACACAAGAAGGGCGGTGCAGGAGAAGGGGAGGTAGGTGGATGGAATGACTCTTGCTGCTTCTTTCATGATTTCCAGATTCTCATGCTCCATATACTCCTTTTGACTCACCCAGTTCCTATCCAGGTAGATCGCCAGGACACTCCTCTAAGATGGAGCCTTCCCATTTCAGCCCATCCTAAAAGAGGACGATCCAAGATCATTACAGAAACCACAAAAAGGTGTCTCACTAAGAATGAGTGCTAAGAGAGCTGTAAGCTCTCTTTAAGAACATGGTTTGCAGTAATGGATGGGCAGAACTGGAGAAAAATTGCAAAAATGGGTTCATTCAGCACTGACGATGCATCAGTGGATGAATCATTTCTGTGTGGCCTTAAAAACAGAGGATCTTCTAAGGTCACCTCCCCATCCCTAAATCAACCACAACTCGTGCCTTCTCCCATCTCAAATGCAGCTCCTTCCTCCTGTTCCTAGGAAGTCTGTATTCGAAAAAGTACAGATGTAGGGAATGGGCCTGAAAATATTATTGTAATATATGCAGTCTCCTCGTCAGTGGGAGAAGAAAAGTGGTCACTTAAGAGAATTAAATGTCAGTGTTTCATAGAGCCTGCTGTAGGGCTTAGTGAGCCCAAGCTGCAGTGAACCTGCCAGATCCAAAGCTGTAGCCTGGCTACATACAAAAGTGTGGGAGGCTGATGAATCAAGAGGAATCAGGAGCAAGCTGGCTCAGCCACAGCGTATGTTCTGCTGCTAATCTTGTATCTAGGTCAAGGAAAAGTGCCCCTCAAAATTGCCCTCCAGTTGGCCAACAGAAGCCCAGAGCTGCTAGACGCCTTATTAATCATATTCTCCTGTAAAAGCAGGATACAGTTCTTTCTAAAAATGTATTAATCCTTATTATTTTCACAGATGCTTTAGCATAAAGCAAAAGACCTATGAGGAAAAGCAACCAAACTAACACATCAATTTCACCCTGATCTTCATTTAAAAAAAAAAGTCCTTTTTTTAAAAAATAAAAATAAAAAAATAAAAAAAATTGGACTAATAACAAAATAAAGAGCTTTCGGGAGCAGCAACAGCAGAAGGGTAATGTAAAGTGATATATTTGAGACCCAGGAGTGTGGTGTAACTTACTCCTGCCTCTGCGGCCTGTTTATTGTGTTTGTCTGGTTGCCCTGGGAACCAGCTCACGCCGTTTCACTTATTTTATAATGTTCCTGTAAATGTTAGGTAGGGCCGGGATTTATTATCCACTGTCAACACCTAAAATGGAACGCGCCGCTTAGTGTCGTTTCTTTGGCAAGACGCCTTTCCATGCTCCCTTAAAAAAAAAAAAAGAGAGAAAAAAAAAAAGGCTTTCTTACACACATATATGTGCGTGTGTGTGTGTGCATCTGCATCTCTGCCCAAATAAACAGGCCCCGTGTGCCTTCCAGCAGCTGATGCTGGGTGGTATGGACAAAGGCGAAGGGAATGGCTGTGCGAGGAGGACCTGCTGTTGGGTGGGAGCTGTGACTCACCTTATTTGCGTGGGGTGAGAGTTTAGGGGATGGGGAAGGAGTGTTTACCAGGAGTGTTTATTATCCCTAAAGAAGCAGTGCGATCCCGTTGCTGCTGTCCCCAAAGACCTCGGTTAATTCATAGCGATGAATCATCAGAATTATTAGGGTTGGAGCTAGCTGCTTTCCTTTCCTCTCCTCTCCTCCACCAGTCCCTCAGCATGACGGAGCAGATTTGATTGCAGACTGGTGGGTGTGAGGCTTATTTTTTAATTTGCTTTTTTTTTTTCTCTTGGGTGGTACCTCTCAGACTGACACATGCTGTTCGACCGACAAGACCATTAACCTCCAAAGCGCTCAGGAGCAGCTGCAGGAGGCATCCTGACTCCCTGAAACACATGCTTTGCAGTGCTCCAGTCCTTTCCTTGCTCCTGCTCCAAGCTGCAGCTCTGCCTTCCGAAGACAGGGTCTCTGCCACCCCTGCTCTCCTTTGGCACATCCCTGGTCCAGGTGGAGCTGCCATCATCCTTCTGTTTGCCCTTGGTGGTGCCACATCTGCACCAACTCCTCCTCGCCCTTGCCCCTAAATGAGATGGATTTGTGCAGTGATTCAGTATGACTGCAGACGCGTTGCTTGCCAAAAAAGCACTCACTCTGGACATGTGCACTCAGTTCTGTGTGATTTGCCTCCGTGCTTTCACGGAGATTTGGATTCTTTGGTCCACAGCGACCACTCTGGTTAAAACATGGGCCAGGTGAAGGGCTGAGGTGGATCCATCCACTGGTAAAAGCCAAGAAAAGTGGCTTTGTTCCTCCCCATGCTTGGGGTGGTTCTGCCTCCCACTGACCCGAAATGTTCCCTCCCTGGCATGGAGCCTCCCACCGCTGAGCAGCTCCAAGGCCAAGGAAGGCAGCCAGCACCCAGAGCATTAAACAAGTTGGGATTAGGCAGTGCCCTGAGACTGAAGGTACAGAGGATGGAGGATCTCCAAAATGTTTAGGAATGCGAATGGAAAAAGGCAGAGGCTGGGCCAGGATGGCTGGTGACAGCAGATGGTGTTTAAGGAAGAAAGTCAGATGAGGAAAGTTGGACTTGACGGCGCAAGGCTGCATAGCGTGAATTTTTCTTTCAATTGCAATGAGTTAAGGGTGGTGAATTTGTTTGTGAAATTGCAAAGGTTAGGATTCCTATTTCCTGCGTGATGCTGAGTAATTTAAATCTTAATTCCCCGTTTAATCTGCCTGTGAGGCAAAACATGAACGAAGCACAATGAACTCATATTTGCAATGCGACTTGAGATCCTTGACTAAAGACCTCATAATGGTAAACTCTCGAGTATGGATTGTACGTGATCTGTGGAAACATAAGCCAATAAAACAGGACGTCATTGGCTCATTTCAGGCAAGAAGATGGGGAGATGATAGATTTTCATCTCTTCTCGTTTTTCATTCTGATAAATACTATGGAAGAAAACATATGTTGTGCATAAAGGTTGGTTTCTTCCTAAAATTGCTGTGCATGCAAATCAGCTCTTGGAATAAGTATCAGCAGCAACTCCTCCAAAGGCATTTAACTGAAGCACATGCAAAAACAATATACACGTGCATATATCCTCAGCTAGCTTAATTTCAGGAAATATCTCCAGATAAATTAATGGTATTTTCAATTTTTTTAAATAAAAATGTTGAGGTTAAAGAAAAAATAAAATGACAAAATACATTTTTAACGACTCTAAAATGGAATGTATACGACAGTGACAAGAGTAACAGTGAAATCACAGCTACTCCTTTTAATTGCCTCCTAATTTGCTCTCCAGTGTTAGTAATTGGAACAGTTTCACTGCAGATCCCTGTGAGGTCTCCGATCTTAATTGATTTTGTCTTGCTTAATCAACCCCAAAAGAAACAGAGCCCATTTCAGAGACTGTTTTTAAGCTTAGCCCTGTTCTTTGGTGATACACTGGGCAAAATATGTACCCACCCACCCATATAAATCATCCGCTGACCAAGCTTAGAGGCTGAGCCACTTCCTTACAATGAAAGCTGAAGTACCTCTGGTTGGTGTTTTAGTCCTGAAAAATACCTTAAATAAGACTGCACACCATTGGTATATGTATCAAATCTAAAAAGGTGATAGCTGAGGTCTATACCAACTCAATCAGTCTGAAAAAAAAGTGTTTGTAAGCATTTTTCTTGTGCTTGGAGACCAGGTAAATTGTAATAGAAAAAAATAAGCTTTTTTTGCATGTGGAGCAGAGGAGAATAAATCATATAAAGGGCTATTTAATTTTCTTTTAAAAAACAATTCAGGTTCTCAACGTTGTGATTTAAGGAGGCTCTGTTATTCTATTTCAGGAAAATTTATTATATTATTATTATCTAATACAGGAAAATAAAGGAAGAGATCTCACAAAGTGCTGGTGTGCTTCATAATAAGGTCACTATTTGGGAACAGAAATCATCTTCATGGTCTGATATCCTGTTACCACATGCTTGAGATGTTATTGCTGAGCTGTAAGTACAGGTGAGCCTCAGAGTCCACTTTCACTGCCTTATCAAACCTTTTTGGGCAGCCTGGTCTGGTGGTTGGCGACCTTGCACACAGCAGGGG